CACTGTAGGGTTTAAAAAGAACCAAAAATGCCCTCCATAGTAAATCTTTTCAAAACAATTTATCCCCCATTCCAACAGCATGTCAAGGAATTGTACAAGAACAAGCATCCAGACATAACAAAGTCCAAATGGCACAGCAGAAGAGAAAACCYAAGTAAATGGAGGACAAGGAGAGAGATGGTTGAAGGAACAAAGAAAGATAGTTGAAAATTAGGAAAGGGATAGTTATAGAACAGAACAAAATGGATGGTTGCATAAATGAACAATTATTAATTAGAAAAAGGAATTCATTAGACATCCTGAGGGTCTGGTTCAATAGGATCAAGGTCACTGAGTGATCATGGAACTGATGCTTGAAAGTCAGCTCTCAATGTTGTTAGTACTGGTTGAAAGAGAGGTAATGAGAATCTCATCAACTAAAACATCACTGCTCACAAGATCCATGCAACTACAAAGAAATGTATGGATTCTATAACCTTTTGCACAAGGGGCAGCTGAAGTAGATAGAAGAAATGATGAAGAAAGGATGGGGCAATGAGATTTGATTCAAATTTAAGTTACTACTACATCGTAGGAGGTAGTACATGTTTCTTTTGCAGAGGCAATATAGTAAAAATATATTGTTATGTTGATGATTATCTTGTTGTTCAACAACAAGAAGCACATGTATTGTCAGTACTACTTAATACTACAAAGAGTGAACTGGTAGATTTCCAGAGAAAATTGGTAGGTTTCCAGAAATGAAAAATGTAACCTGTAGTAGATTTTCAGAAACAATTCCACTGTAGCTCTACAGTAGGATATTCTACAAGAGTAGAACAAGTATATTRCTTTTTGTAGTACTAATAGTAAATAGTAGTCCTTTATTGTATGTAGTACCACCATCATGATACTATTACTGCAAAGAATTATTACAAGTTTTTTTTTCAAAGATATGTTGTTGAGTATGTATGGGTACAAGGTGCTTGGAAGGCAAATGTGTGACACAAATCTGGAATCAGTTATGAGTACAACAAAAACACACAGTTTTTAGTATGAGTAGTCAGAAACAACAACAGCAGTAGTACACCAAGGTTTGTCTCTCCCTTGTCTGGACAGAGCAATTAATGACACTTCCCCACCACACATAGTGCACTGGAATAACTTCTTTGTTGTAATAAGAACAAGAGGATCAGGAAGTCTCAGATTAATTGACCAGGAGGAGGTTTTTTTAGGGTCCTTGATATCAGCAACAACATTTGTATCAGCAAATTGACTAGTAGTTTTCCTCCTGCATACAAATTACAAGGTAGTACAGTCAGAAATATTTTGAATACTAGGTGTATTGTTCTCTCCTTAAATCCATCTTGTATTTTTGTACTGGTTCCTGCTGATCTTGCTGTCTGTAGGATATCAGACCATGGGTATGACTCATACATACGACACATACATACGATACGTATCTACGATTCATACACACCATACATATATGACTCACGCGATCCCACTGGATTCATATKATCAACATGACTCATTTCATTCMCTTGCATGAGTGACTCGACTCATTCGATTCACACATCACTCAATCCTCACAGTGATCCATTTAGATTTCATAGTTTGTTGATCCTTGATAAGAGCATCGACTCACTTTTCTACTAGCACACACTTTACATCACCACTTTTAGGACAGTCACTCCCACAGGTTATGACACCCTTCCAATAAAATTCATCACCACCATGGTGATAATTTTTCAGGCGTGATCTCTCCTCAACACAAACTCTACCGACACTGTGTCGACACACACCTTTGAACACATACCATCGTCTTCGACAACGCATACGCCTTGTCGCTACCATCGTCCTTGACAACACATATGCCTTGTCACTGCCATCTGCCTCGAAATCATCTGTCCCACCCTCATTAGGTTTTGTTCCTTGTACCCTGGTGGCTTGACAAAATAATAAGTGTTTTTAAGGGATTTTGTGTATCATGCCACCATTTTTKGGAAGCTTGTTCTTGTTTTCAGTAACTAGTCATTGTCTGACCATGTCTGACATACTAGCCACAGGTGCAACAAAGAAATAGGTTGGATTATCTAGTTCCAGYGATGAATTCTGGTTGAGAAGAAGTTTCCCAAAACAAAGAGGCATAGTAGTAGTAGCACTATGAAATTTGGGTTTCCTACTAGTAGAAAATACCAAGCATATACTATTATGCCTGCTGTTATCAGAATTTTTTGATGGTATGCGCTTTTTTGTTTACATCTGTTACTATACTATGCCTCAACCACAACAATGGTCGCAAACTGAAGCATTTGGTGGAAGGATTGGATGAGGTTGTAAGGAATGTTCCCCTGAAAGATTGGGGTGATCTAAGAAGTCTTTCTATTGCAACTGGAATTCTGAAGACAACTCTTCTTTGTATGGYGAAGTGTGGCAACATTGAAAAGCACAACAGGAGTACAACGCCGCCACTAGCTACTAACTTCTGCCAACAACAAACTTCAACAGTTTAAAGTTCTTGCTGTGCTGCTGCTGAGGAAGAACAACAACAAGCATACTGGTAGTGATAGTAACACAAAGTAGTTAAAATAAGAGTARAAGTGACAAAGGAAGTTCATGGTAATGAATGTACACAATCCTACATAGGCCCAACTATAATGATGCATATTCAGAACCAGTAAATTAGGGACAAAATGACACATATAATGGACCGGAGGAAGTATTATGAAGTAAAGTGGAAGCRATACTGCAAGTGATAGCRATATGAGCCCACGAAAGCTCAGGCTTTTAACGGACAACGAAAGAAATGCAGTTCTCCAGTTCCTCCTACAAAATCTGAGGAGTAGCAGTGAAGGCAAGCTTCTCAGGAGGGGAGCTGTTAAGGATGCTGCACTACAGTTCAACATGTCAACCAAAACCATCTCAAGGGTCTGGAAACGGTACAAGGAAACTTATGCTGCTGGGAATGTCTCCAGTAGAAGACACTTGAG